TTTTTTTTAAAATATATGTATCTCTCTCTCTCCCCTTCCTTACATTTTCCCCGCTAACACCTTATGTGCTGCCACTGTCTCAGGTTTTATACCTAGCCTTTGCTCCCTGAATAGAGACTGGATTGTTATCTTTTTGTTCTGTTTGCAAAGCCTTTAATACAATACGACTGAAGTTAACTGGAACTACTAGAGTCTATGCTAAAAGGAATTACTGCTGCTAAAAAAAAAAATAAAAGGCACTGTACAAAGAAATAGCATTTCCAAATTCTTCTCATGGTGACTGTCATTTGCAGAAGTAATGAAAGCCTTTTCACACAGGCAAGTGAATTACTATGTTCCATACACTAAAACAAACACCTTAAAAAGAAGCATGAAGACACCTTTCATTATCTGTACCTGCTTAGCCGACACAATAGCAGATACAAAGCATTACAGCTCACTCACAGGTGGTTGCTTTTCTAAAATCCAAAAGGATCAAAGACTGCTGGCAAGCATGTACTTTTGAAGGAGAGCAAAGTTCACTGAAGTCTATAGGCACTACTGTAACTTAACTAACATCAATGGCGATGTTAAGAGTAACAATACTTTTTCCACCCAAGGACAGTGGTTTCTAACATTAAAGCAGGACACATGAAGACTGAATTAATGGAAAAATGTAACTTTATAAGCTTATGGAGAAATAAAGAGGAATATAAAATGAAGAAGAAAAACAAAAAGCCAGCTGAGGCTTCATAGAGAACCTTGGAATAGAGAGCCAGACAGACTTTCAACAGAGGATATGCTGGAATAAATATTATTCTGATGAATGTCAGTTCAAACATTAAAGTTGCTGTTAACAATAAGATTAAATGCCAAAGGAATATGTGTGGAAGCCAGAGCTGCAACCTTCAGGGAGTACAAGAACTTTCAGGCAGGAAGACTGAAAAGGAGATTCCCAGAAGCAACTCCAAATGTTAAGATTGACTGAGGCCTTTGCACCACAAGGCAGCATCGTGGATCAAGAATGAGAAGGTACCACAGAGCAAATATGGCTAGAGAATATTCCACGACAAATAAAAGTCTCTGGAGAGATGCAGACAGGATTCATTTGGGTCACAGGAATTCTCTCCCCTGGTCTTGAATGTGACATCATATGCCAGAGACAATATGAAAGATTCTTTTGGAGAAAGTCTCCTAGAAAGTTGATGAAATAAAGTCATCTTGAGGATGCTACCCAAATGAGATACCCAAATAAGCAGGACAGAAGGATTTGCAAATCTAAAATAAACTAGCACTTGAATCATTCTTCACCTGATGTATCATAGCAAAAGAAAGACAGCATACAACTGCAGAAAACAAAGGGCTAGCACAAAGCAGAAAAGGTCAGTTACCAAACTTGGCACTTAGGGCAGATAAGGCTGCATGAAAGGACATACAAGCAGAAATAGTTTTGCATATGCAATGGCATGTGCAAACTTCTGAAAACAGCAGAGGGGGG